ATACACATAATGCATGACCAACATAACACGACTTACAGCGGATTTACGTCTACTACGAATACCGCGGAGAGTCCGCCGTTGTGAAGCTAACTAAGTTCATTGACAATTTTTTTCTTTGTTTTGTTTGTTCACCATGATCACCCTGCGGGACTTGTTAAGCTCCAGCTTTTTTACCTGTATAAAACCTTGTTTCATTGTTCCAATTCTCCCCGATTTGGTTGCCCCCCAGTGAATTGTCAGCCACACGTGGTCATGTAACTTGTGTCTGTAACCGGACTTCCCTAGGCAGCCTCATGCGTCATCTATAGCATTTCTCGCAAAGTTGCAAAGAAAAGTCCAAAATTTTTGCAAAGAAAGTCCAAAATTTTGCAAAGAAAGTCCAAAATTTTGCAAAGAAGGTCCAAAACTTTGCAAAGAAAGTCCATAATGTTGCAAAACACACAGACTGTGAGTTACAACTAACTATTCTGTACACCCTTTTCGATAATGTTGGTTTTCAGCATCTTACGCAATCCGGAGCCGCATCCAAACGTCTCTACTATGGATACGACAAGTAGGGTCATCTTGGCCGATGTTTGGTAAATAGCTGTGCGGGGTATTTCGGGATACATGATAGGCTACCTGATTGGCTGATAAGACAACGTCCTCCGCATCCGTTGTCGCTAGGAAAATGCTGTATGAAACATACGTGACTGCGACTTTTACGTTAAGCATACATGAGGTTCCTCTGCATGGGTGGCCAGCATCATCGCAGATCAACAGTGTGCTAAAAACAAACAAAATAAACGCTATTAAGCCGACACCCACCCACTGCAAATAGGATGACTTCATTTTCGGGCGTATTAACGTTCCCCAATCCAAATCCAATACAATGAAAGATAAAATGCGAAATGACCGTAACACATGGAAGTCCACCTTTAGCATGATCCCTGTCCGCGCTGATCTCAATACACGCGCATCACTCATACCATAGATTACTACGGCGAGCATAGATCACTTTGGATAACACAGTGGCCGCCATCTGATAATCGGCTGCTTATTGTATAAACTAGAGAGCGCAGGTTACTTGGCAACCTATAGAGAGGATGTTCCCAAGCTATGAAATACATAGAAGAAAACAGAAAATACGATGCTAAGAAAACAGCCGTTTTTCAGGGTGTTTCACAGATTCAAGCGCCTTCTTCCGATTACGCTTATGGACATGAACGGGAGTGATAGCACCACAGCTGTAAGACGCAATCTCTCTAACATGTGGTTGCTACTTCGTCCATACCTATCACCGTGTCAATTAATTAGAAAAGATGTAGTTCTAGGTTGCTGAAGTTGGTGTTTGGTGCTGAGCTAATGGCAAAGGACGAGGTAGAGAACTGGGCTATGTCCCGTAGCAGACTGACAGCAGAACTTCTGCTGAAGAAAGCAGTGTCAAGAAAAGCGGTAAACTCAGTGAAAATAATTAGTACGGAGTCTAGCGTAGCGACTGATAAAACAACTGTCAAGATACCTGGTAGGAAACCACAGGAGGTGAGTGAGTATCAATGTCATCAGGATCCAGAGCGTCTAGTACAGCCAAATACTCCAGTTCCATTTTCAGAGCCTGCGACTTAAAAGACGAACAGCTTCCGACCTAAGGAGCTTAGACAAAAGCTTTGACCTGTTGTCTACACCTTTAACCAATCTATTGACGTATGAAATATTGTAGTTTTTCCACTAATTCACAAGGCCTTATTAATAAAGTAATAGAGCTATGGCTGTGTCAAGCCTTGAGGTTATGGATACTCAACAGGATTTACAAGAAACGACTAAGGGAAGAGATCACAGCCACCGAAATCATGTTACCTGGGATGTCTATCCTGCTCAAAGACTGATCCACTGAGCTACATGCTGGTCTCATCAGCCACTCGGATGTCCAAATGGTGGACACTCTTTGATCTCGTCTCCATCTAAACGGTGGTAGCACATGTAATTGTTTACCACCTTCCGTCTGTTACTCTAGAATTGGGCAGTCAGCTGACTTCCACTCCGAAGAGTGTCTTGGCGCGGTCACATAGCCCAGTTCTTATGTTAAGCAAATACAGCCTTCACGCCCTGGAAACCAGCTCGACGAATAACTTGAAGTAAAATCACTGTGGCTAATCTCTGGTTTACACCTTGTAGTCAGTTCACTTACCATACAAGGTTCAGGACGAGGACTAGACCATCTGTTATAAAACTCGTGTTCACCAACCAGGAACTAATGATCACAACTGTACTGATAGTAAATGCTGTGGGCCGTAGTCAGCATCCAGTCCTACTGTCCAACTGCATCTATTATACAAAGTGTCCTCATTAAGTCATCCAAATTTCGCGCTATTTCGAGTTAAACAGTTCAAATTCCCGCAACACTTTTGGCCCAGCAGGAGAAAAAGTAAAAACCCAAGGAACTTGCCTGAGAATTACCTTTTAACCAAACACCGCAAAAAACGCTGGACAACTGTCCCAGACCTTGAACAAATTTCTAAGTCACTTAATGGTCTTCGGCTTCTAGAAAACGGAAATCAACTGGTAACAAGCGTAAATTCGTTGATGGCCTTCAATTAATAGGCCGCCTCGTGACAAATGGAAGGAACCAGAACGCTGGATGTCAATGCATACTCGAAATTAATCAATTAGTTGTTGAAATACTGAATTTTCTGGATGTCTTTTTGCTTTCTCCTTGATAATTTTGAAGGAAGTATTTACGTTGCCAGACTACGTAGCTCTGACCACACACATTATTGATAGCAACCAATCATTGCTAGCTGAACTATCCTCCGATGTCTCTGTTGGATTTTGTCAATAAGTTCAATAAGCTAGTAACGAATGCTTCGAGGAATTGATCCTCACGATGAATGGAAATAAATCCCTTACGATATAGGACGTGAAGGTTTATGGTCATATGAAAGTTAATATGGCGAACGTGGATGAACTCACCGGACGTCGGAACTAGGAAATCCTAATTCGCCCAGCGGAGATATTGTATGTACTTGGCACGTGATACTAAATTAGAGTAGCAACAGGAATTATCAGAGAAATTACGTTTAAATCCCACTTCTTTTATACTTACCCCAACAATTTTCGTATGGTTTAGCATACGATTCCTGATCTACATTTTACATTTATAACCAAAAGCTGCCCGAGAAGCAGCTAACACTCAAGACCGTAATTCCAAGGGCATAATTTCGTCTGCTTTCACGTGGATCATACAATCACCAAAGAGTAGCCATACTTCGTTTACTGCCGAAGATGTTATGAAATGACTAATGTCTGCGTGAGCATGTCACAGTCCACGGTGCTGTATCCTACACCAAACTGAAGTTCAGCGCGGAGTGCCACCCGGTTCAGTGCTGGGACCACATCTATACTTGATTTGCATGAGCAATCTTGCAAGAGTAGCTACTGTGTTGCCCAATTTCTGATGATTTATAGATCTGACAGGCCATGAAGCAACGGGTGAACAAGTATCGTGTATGATGACCCAGATGGTATATTAGTAGAACACTCAGAATCGGATCCCGTTCAACCCAACCATGTGCTAGGTTTTGAGTAATTCAATCACCATACATGCTGGTGAGACAAAGTGTGCAGTGCACAACTATTGAGCACAACCTAGGAATATTGTTACAGTAACATGTTGGCTGTTCATGTTGGACCGAGAAAGCATCAAAATTCCAACCAATACCATGGTTTAATGCGGAGGATGTTAGGACGGTTCGATTCTCTATCTTTTCCTAAATACGCAACGCTTATATTAGGACGCATTCAGAATAGACCACCGGCGTCCGGCAAGCCTGTCAAAGGTATACTCTCGCCGCAGTTGAGACATCACACCGGAGGGCCACCAAGATTTTAAAGGAGTTGTTTCAGTCATAGTATCAACTGGGACTGGAAACTCCGGGGATCTATAGTAGACCATATCGGTACTTTCGTGGCGATTTGATAATGGCGTATCAACTCCTAATGAATTTCTCGTCACCTGAAAGTGGGCAACAGAGTCACCCTAAGAAATCACTAGTTAAAGCTAGTCGCTCAGCCTAGCCAGTTGAAATGCCGCTGTAATTGGTGTATTGGTGTATGCCAACTGTGGAATCCTCTCCAAAATTACGGTATTCACAATCATTGTGATGGTGCACCTTCACATTAAGTAAGAACACCTCTATTTGTTATCATGGTGACAAGAACAACCGGTATGCTTCACCCGAATCCTTGGTAAGGCTATCAGCATCTACTTTATTTCGTTGACGCTGCTTTGTTCTCTAAACTAACTAGGTCATCATATTTGTTCTCTGTCAAGGTTTGAAGGTTTTGTCCATAATAAATCATTGTTTGCATTGTTTCCTCTGGAAGCACAGCGATGAACCTTCGTTATACTTAGATGTACATGCCCCTACACACGGGTAGTCAAAACCTTTGCCCACACGGCTTTTAGATAGAATGTAGTACATAACTGCTATAAAGGAATCTATGGCTCCAGGTGTTTACCCTGTCCTCTAGTAAGCCCGTAATCTGCTTGGCATTAGAGGATGAGCTGAGCTGTACGGCAGTTAGTATAGCTTGGCACTGGCCCGACATCATAAGGCACCGCTTCGTGGTATACGTTTCCTGGATCCATGTGCCCGGAGTTCGTGAATTGGGGCCCTGGTAGAGCCCAGCTTGGGCACTATTAGCGAGTCTCACTACAACGAACGACCAGTTGGTTCTTTCCAAAATGTGCGGCAGACACTCTGCGTTGAAAGCTATTACGATGAGGTTCTCATACACGACACGCTTCGTGCCGCGTGTTAACAACTCTACTGTACAATACACGCAGCTCAAACGACTTGGAGCGCTTAAGGCCACGAGACTGGTGTTCGCCTCTTGTTAGCCAGTGATCACACAGATTCAACGGATATGATGAGTTAGATATAACGTTCCCAATTACTGAGGGATGCAATGAAACACGTTGGAGAGGTATGGTGCAACCATTTCATCCATATTCCGAAAGTGGTTTATTCAAAAAATATGTATATACAAAATTGTCTTCTCAATAAGTAAACATGCAAAATGAAGTTTTGCTCCCGGACATTGAAAAACACTTTGTACATGATAAAAAATGGAACGTATGGCTTGTAGTCGTTCTCTTACCCAGCTCATAATGAGTGTTTCCCTGTAGGTCTTTCGTCCGGTGCTGAGTTTGTATGTGTGTGTGTGTGTGCTCGATCCATGTAGTGATAACATATATAAGCTGAGGAGTGAAGTTGTCATGTAACATGAATAAACAACCAAAGGCACAGTGGAATTGGTCAGAAAATGATCGTTTGGTTTTCAACCCTATATTGCTGTACATCTCCGTGACGGAAATGAAGCGGTCAACTGCTCATACAAACGATTACGCTTCCAAATATCCCCCTATCATCAGTGAATCGCATTCTTGGCTTCAATCCCAGATAAGCCAAAGTAGGCCGTATGAAAGGTGCTGAAAAAGCCCACAAGCGGATCACGAGGGGAACCAATGTGAACTTTACTCTAGGCTATTGCAAGGGCTTATCTTTACAATTTGACCTTCACTGCACTTCAGTTAGTCTCACAGCGACACTTTTAAGCTGTGTGCTTGTCGGCCAATATCGAAGTTCTGAGGGGTGAAGTTACGAATTTGACATGAGGATGGTGCCTCTTTTTCCCGCAGTTTTTGCCAATAACCAATGAACCAGCTGAAACAGTCGGAGTCAGTCGTGAGCTGTAGTAGTTCACGTCGCAAATTAATGACATCAGCTGACACAGTAGCATCGGTTGTGTGAATATGTGCTGAGCGTTTGGAAGGAGGCGGCCAAAATCGAAGCTCTTCAAATTTGAGCACGGCTCCGCGCTTCAAAATTGGCGCGATTAATGATTTGTTGGCAAACATACCTTTGATTCTTGAATGAAAAGTTAAGTCACTCATTAATGACATGCTGTTACTGTTAGGCAGAAGCCTAAAATAGCGGAGCATTTTGTGCACCGCTTGACGCAGTTCATCTACTGGAGGCAGACGTGTTTGAAGATGGCGAATAAACGAAGTGACACGAGGACGCCGAAGCCAATTGTGTCGCTCGTTTGATGTCCACGACGCCAAGTGTTGAGCGCTCAAAAATAGGTCATGATAAATTTTAGCGAATTCGCTCCGACCAGATGCTAAGTGATAGGGGGAATCAAGCGGATATGTGAAGCTGGGGGCACACGGCAATAGCTTATCTGCCCTTCGTTTACGCATGAGTCGCTGTATCCGCTGCTCCCAGCGTGAACTCGATAACAACAACCAGTTACTCATCAGGGTGGGAAAAGTGTCTACTCGAAACACGGATGGATTCTGGGCTAATTTCATCTCGATCTGTTCGACCACATAGTGAAAGTTGTCTAAAATACGCAAGCTATTGATGAGGTCTTTTTGAACAATCGCGATCAATCTCTGGTACAGCTGAACACAATGCGCTTTCTGTTCCTGTTTGTAAATCTGTTCGATATCATCGGCCTTTGTCTCCAAGGCGTAAACGAGTTTCCGACCCACTCGTATTAGTTCACGTTCGCGATGTAATTCTAATTTGCTTTGCACTGTCACGTTATTGGTAGGTGAGGCTTTACGTGATGGAGCTTGCGATTGAATAATGCGGTCGTCATCTTTGCTTATGTTTCCACCGTATACAAGCCAAGTGGAACTCGGGTGCCACAGGTGGTGTGTCCATCGTAAGACAAGACGAGGTTGTTCGGTGTCGCTCACACTCAAAGTAGCAATACGATGTTGCGAATCTGAAGTGGAGAAGTGCATAGGATGGAGAACTGTGATCCCATCTGATGCTGCTCGAACGGGGACAGGATCAGATGAAGCATCGTCGTCGCCTGGAAAAATTTGCTGAAATCCTATCCCGTGCCGGGAGATTCGTAATCGCCATTCACAATTCCTGGAAACCGTTGAATTGATTAACAACTGGAAGTGAGAATAAGACACCACAAATCAGTTGGAGTTATCTGAAACGCGATACCTACAAACTCACGAAAAGTGTAGAGGACAAGAAACCGATTGCATCGATGATTTAAACACTGGAACAAGTGGAGTTTTAAGGCAACTTAGATGACAAGTATTGACTTAAATCCATACTGTCAATTTAGTATCTGCTAGAGACAGCAAGAATTTGGGTTCAAAAGAAGACATATGTTAATAATACATTTAAATCTATTCCTAGTAATAGCCTTGAATAACTAGTAGACATGTTATCGGATGGATATATATGGCAGCCTTCAACTTTCCAAAATATTTTGCTTTACTCTTTGCTCAGGATGATGGAAGCTGGGTTTCTAACAATATTTCAAATTAAGTATAACAATGCAAAATGATGCCTCAACAAAATCTATCCAATCTAGTACGACTTTTTATTTATAGAACGCGCGACCCTATGGGCAAGACAAATCCAACTGAACGGTGTGCCTTTGTTAAACTGGCACTTATGGTATGCTTCAATCTGTCTTCGTTAACCCAAATTTCCCTTGAATGACAGTGTGTTCCAAATACAGTGATAAGGCCAATTGTGTCTCAAGATGAACCCTGAATCAGGGAAGGATGATTGTATCACAAACAATGATGATTTAGGATTCAGGCCAACAATATAGAACGACTTAAGCCAGCACAATAAATATGCTGCATGGGTTTAATCAAGTAATATGCACCGTCCACGGCCTGAGAAGAGACACTGTCCAATTGAGTGATTGTGTGTTAAATAGGATTGCTGGTCCTTATACAAATTGGATCGAAGGCCCTTACTAACAACGTTACCAATACTAAATGGCAAGTTCCAGGTAGACGGCAGGACACTAGGTGTTGTGGGATCGAAGTTGTGAGCTCAATTTTAACCATATGTAGCGCATAACTCAAAGTATCAAGGTTAGGTTTGTGGAAATCATCACAACAGACTTGTTTACTCCTGCTAACCTACGCTGCATTCAATATCATTTTTGTTCATATTAAGAGGAACCGAGGTACTTTCGGCTTGGAAAAGACAAGGAGTAGGCTTAGCTCGAGCGGTACATAGATAACCTTCTCTACACCACACCCACGTGATTTAAGATAACAATTTTGAGGTGGCGTGAACATGAGAAAATGTGTATTTACTTTTGATCTTGTCGTAGTCCAGTTAGATTGCATGTTATGAGGATCTGGGATTGTCCCCCCTGTTTCAGTGGCACAAGCTGCTGGTTAGCTGCTTAAGCTTCTGGTTGTCATAGGTTCGGTTCCTGATGCAATCGATGGATACGCACAACTAACGAACCTCAATCGGGCGAAACACCATTCTAGTGCTTTTCCGGATAAGTTCTTGAACTATCTCCTGTTAGATGCTGGGAAGCATCAGTACAATTTCATCAGCCATCACGCTACTCATCAGTAATACATTCTTTTTGTTCAGCACAGTTGCTGCTACTAAAATGGCTGCCTTGAGCATCCTGTCGTGTTGTCCATACACTAAAAAACATGTCCTATTCAACCACCTATGTATCTCGGTGGTAAGTTAACACCGAGGGAACGCGGCATCCATTGTGAACTCCCTGTTTTGAATACCTGAAGCTTGGTGTATCCGATGTGTGAATAGTAGTGTAATATTATTTGGCTAATATCTGTAGAGCAGGGTGCCAACTTGGCTGGTTGAGAATAGTGAAAGTCTGGCTCCCTTAATTCCGCGTGCTTGTAACGTCGGGACCTTGAGTGTATGAGCTGCATATTTACAAGGTCACTGAAAGGGCGAAATGTCATGCTGAGTTCGCACCAGAACGGTTCGTGTGCGCCTTTCGTATCATCCATGAGTAGGTTCGCTTTAAATGGCCATACATAATTGTAAGTCTCAAGGGAGGCTATGCGGTGCGTTAAACGCGAGATGTGGGATAAATGGGGTTAGATACGTTACCAGTTTTCATCGCGTCGATAGAAAGAATACGAGTGATTCTCAATCGTGCCATTTGGAAAGGATACCAAATTGGCTGACAAGATAAGAAATAATGGCTACTTGTAATTTCTTCGGAAGCATTGTTTTACTCTCGCACACCATCTTGCTGGAGTTCAAGAGAGCACCAGCGTCTCTAACTTATATTGTACAGTAGCGAAGCCGATAGCAATAGAGCATTCCTCACAGTGCCTCCAAATACTAACCTTTAAACCTCGTGATTTCCGCCATTATGCAGTAATTAACTGAGCATTTTGCTGTTGCTGTTCTCTTCCTCACTGTTGTCGTTGCTTACTCTTATTATTATAGTGATGGAAATAATAACGAAGTAGGCGGGACTATTAAATATTGGGAGAATGACGGAATTCTTGGGTTCGGGTAATGTGTAAGTAATGTTCATAAATTCTCTTATGGTCACTTGCAGGAGGTAAGGGGATTCAAACAAATCAAGTCAAAATCGAAGACAATGTAAACGAACCATATTCAGTCGTACTGCGGGCCAGAAAACAGACGGATTTCCTTTTCTAGCAGTCCTTTGACAAGCATGTATCATGAACCAATAGATGAAATAGATTGTGGCTCTTGACATATAAAATTTATCACCCACGGACATCAAGACAAAGCTAAGCACGAGATTACCTTTCAAGCACTTTCAAACACGACAAGCTTGTGAACACTTTTCCCGTGTCTGATATTGAGGCGCATGACGTTTGTGAAGAATGTGTCCTGTGTTCTACCTTACCAGTCAGTCACGTTAACCGTTACGTGATGAGAAAATGTTGCTTACACTCAGAGTACAAACTTGCCTATCAGTTCGGTTTCAGATCGCGTGTCTGTGTACAATAGGCGCGCAGTTCTTGCACACCGCTCCTTAAGGATTTTCCTTCGCTCTACTTTCTCTCACGATACTTACCATATTCCCATTCGAGTCAGTTACTAGCGCTATTCACTGAACCATCCTACGTAGAATTATCTTTACGCTTCACAATTCCAACAACACTTCTGTTGTAAACAGTCATTGTTTAAACCAACCAGCACAAATTTATCACTATTAGGCGCAATCCTAAGTTGTATAGCATACTTAGATGCAGAAATCTCGATGCGCTCTAACGATCCCAAGCGTATTCCAATGTCCTGTTTACCTATAATATTGTGGAGGAATTGGTACTATTGTATTCTGTTCATCACTTTTACATTCAGCTTCAGGAAGACCCTGCCCAGCCAGAGACATTATCCATCGACGTATACATTTACCTGACCAGTGACTGCAGCGGATAGACTGCGTACTCTACTTGAGGTCCATCCAAACATCGACGTAAGTCTGGGGAAATTGGACGGCTAGTTGAGCTTACAATATGCACGCGACCACAAAACTAGACCTTACTAAGTAATACGGTAAGGTATAGGGATAAAGAGGACCTGTGCTAGAGTTAGCAAGATGGTATTAACGTATTTTAATTGCTGTGATGCATCTCACTCTAAATTTGTAGGGCAAAGTTCACTCGAAACTATGCAGTAAAATAGCAGAACTGAAGGGATATTGTCCCGCCACTTGTGCAAAGAAAGCCCGACGGTACGTTGCGTAATTGTTCAAATAAAAGATGTGAAAAGCAGACAATAGTTGATCAACTAGTAAACACAAGGGATACACCTGTGAAGGTAAACGAAGCTAAGGTTGCGTCTTAACAAACGAAAACTTTTTTACTCATGCCAAAGGTGAGAGCCGGGCGTCCAAACTCCATCTCAGTGTCACAATTCTCAATATTCCAACTCACTTTACTCCTATAGATGGACAAGTCCTTCTGTCAATTCCTCATCCTATTGCACCTGTCGAGTATCTGTCATTTAACTCGTAATGTAGCAATGTTCATTGTTCATATGCCCTCATACTAACAGGAGGTTATCAGATCTATATTCTCCAAACTTTTGTGAGAGCTGCTTAATAAAGCCATGGACCCCTCAGCTGTGATGTGGTTTAAGAAGTTACAAAATGCAGATACTGTTGTTAACAAGTAGCTTTCTTTTATGCTCGTGTGAAGGAATGAGAAATTCCTGTCTATGGTTATTGACCGATCAGATCTTATCGCTCAGTAAAGTTCCTGAATTTTGGGGAAGTTATTATCGCAAATCTGAGTTAAAATTATTGCATTTTGGAAGCTTTACTGCCCACATCCTTAATAATCTCTGTCAGTCGTCAGTTCCTCGAATGCAAGGTAAAGTCAATGATTAAGTTCTGGGCCTTGTTCCTGACATATAACTGCTGTGGACGAAGCCTCTCTCAAGACAGCTGTCCAAAGCGTTACTGTCGAAACCAGAATGTTCTCCCCGCGTTGACGCAACCTACAACAATATGCTTCTTCTGACCAACTTGCTGGCCTCCCTGACATTAGTTTTCTCCCCCTTTAGGTCTCGTTAAAAGCAACACATCCCATTTATTTTCCACACAAAATGTGCTTCGCTTAGTAACCTAACTTTGTGGTTACGCCTTATCACTAACAAAGTATAGTTATACCTCACTGAGAAGAGACCTTTCGACACTGACTGAAAGTGATACCTTGTAACGGGAACCGTTAAGCGGCTCCATTCAATCTTGTATCAAATGAACGTTTGGATTTCATTAGGGAGTACCAATCAGTTCATTGTAAGCATCAGACAAATCACGTTATCTTTATGCGCCTATGCGTTTCCATCGAAACGATTTACTTACTGCAAATTTAATTATTTATTAATTGCTGCTAAATGACCTCGAAGTAAAACAGAACGACCTTGAACTTACAAGATTACCACTCGGGTTTGAAGCCGAAATTTGGTAATCAAAGTCGAATATTATGGTCATTGAGGCGATTGATAAAGTTGATGACCAGCAACCAATTTGCGTAGGTGCATGGCCATGCACTTCCATTCTCACTGCAGTTGGCCTACTCCTTCCATCTATCAGCCAGAATGTCTAATTGCGCGCCTTGAAACATTGCACTGGAGCTACGCATCGAAGAAAAGT